CATTTCACCACAGAGGTGCCTCTCCTCATCTGACTCTCCAGGGGTTGATCTTGTCGTAGAATATTCAGTAGACCTACACTACACGGACGACAGTGATGTTAAGTTAGAATGCTGACAAGATGCAGTCTTCTTTACACTCTAACTGTTAATTTAAGCACGCTTGATATGCATTTCTCACCACCCAGGTGCAAATTGTGGCTTCACGACCGGTCTTTGTTGATGCCCCATCTAACAGTAGGGAGTTGATTAGTCGAGCACGTTGACTACTTCCTGCATTTGAGAAGTCAGATCAGTTCTGCTGGGTCAATAGCCGACGAAATCTCTGCTTCAATACAAAAGGCTCGGTTGACTTTCGCCAACTTACGCCATTTATGACGCCACTATGAAATCCAACCGCCTAATGAAGACCGAGTGTACTGCGCTACCATTTGTTCTGTTTTCCTACATTGTTGTGAAACATGGCCATTAAAGGTGGAGGAAATGAGGCGGTCTCGGGTATTCGACAAATGCCACCTTGCATGAGTAGCCATGTTTTGCGGGACGACCACATTATCAATGAAGAAATTAGGCACAGAGTTGAGATTGTCAACCTTCTTCGACTTAAGATGGCTGGGACATGCATTGTACATGCCTAGTCACCGTCTGTCTCGTCATGCAATATTGTCGGAAGTAGGTTCAGGTTGGAAAAGGACTAAAGGCGACCAAGGTAGAACATAGCATCAGTCCATAAAGTCTTTGACTGTTGGTCTGAATTGTATGTGGAAATGTAGACTTCCCGGTTGGAGTCGGCGTAATAACGAAGACGCTATGTGATATGGCTTCTAATCGATGTCAGTGGCTCAGATGCATTCACACGTTATCATTATTTTATTCGTCATAATTGTTTCATTCCGCTTCGTTCTCGTTTGGCGATGTTTAGTAAAACTAGCTTGTGGGAGGATTTGACGGTGATAAGCTTTCGTGACGGACAGCGAGAAGGTGGGTAGGAACACTTTTAAGACCATTTCAGCTGCTTACGGCAACGCTTTGATGTCTCAGCATTTCCCTCAAACTTGTACGGGATGTAGATGTTGGTCCTCCAAATTTCGTCGAAGTTGAGAAAGGTGTTTGTAACATCAGTTGATGCAAAGCAGCAGGATTTGGCGATTTTACTACTGGAAATTTTTAGGCATGTAGGTAGGCAACTGCTGAGCAGAATGTCTGAGGTACTATTTTGTGTATGGGAATCAAAGGTAGTAGTGCCAGACTGGTTTACTTCGCTGATTATATCAGTTTACAAGATGAAAAGTCTTCTTATGTCAACTATAGGGAAATTTTTAACGAATATGGTGTCCACTTTCCGTGCCTCCGAGACCTAATTGATGCCTGAGAACAGCAAACTCGAGAGAACTTGGCAGGTTTCAGACCTAGACGAGGTTGCATCGATCGTATTTTCACCCTGCGACAGGTTGTGGAGCATAGGCATACTTACCAGCACATTTCTGGATTTGAATTGGCATTTCACTCTCTAAGACGTGAGGTGCCGTCGCATTGTCTGACTGAAGGGAGTACCTAGAAAGTATCTGACGCTAATCAGAGCTCTCTACTCGACCTGATGGAGCCGTCCTTGTAAAGGCTTATGAGGAGTTGTCATGTAAGTCGACGACAAGTAGTGGTGTTCGCCTGGGATGTCCACTGTCGACGTACTAATTGACATAACCTTAAGTACGTCTGACTTCACAGGGACTGACCTACTCCCTCGAGGTTTACTTGGAGTATGCAGACAACATAGTCCTGGGTGAAAACGTTGACAAAATGCAGGCTTTTGTGGACGCATTGAGCAGAAATCTGATTATATTTGGCATGCGTCTCGCTAGCGCCTGTCAAATGTAAGATGATGCTGCAGAACTGGTCTGTTGTAAGTACTCGCATTTTAATGACAGGGAGTGAAGTGGTGAAGTATGTTGACTACCTCCCTTACGTGAGGATTTGCATCAGCCTGTCGAGTGAGCTGGTTCCTAACTAAATCTCAGCTCGGATACGCAAGACCCGTTTGTCATTGCCAACTTGCATCATCTGTGACGCTGACTGGCTAAATATCCGACTATCTATGAAGGGATGAATATATTACACTGAAATTCCTTCTCTAATTTTACATGGCTGTGAGAGATGGTCGTTAAAAGTGAAAGATGTGAAGCGGTTACAGGTTTTTGATCATAGGTGTCTTTATAGCATTACTCGCGTTTGGTAGGATCACTATGGTGACCAATGTTGAGGCCAGGTGAAGGATACTAGGCAAGAAGTGCAAGTCGACTGATGAGGTTGTGCATCCTCAACGACTAGGATGGCTTGGACGTGTACTACACAGGGCAAGCGACCGCCTACCTCGATGTTCAACGCTAGAAGTTGGATTAGTTTAGAATAGGATTCAGGGTGGCTAGACTAAGACGTTGCAGCGTAGTATAAAGTCCCTGAGTGTTGGTGTAAGTCACGTAAGAAAATGTACACTAACTAGCTGTGGTATCCAAAACGAAAAGAATCTGTGGTTGAGGACTCTTGGTGATATGGCTGGAAATTGGTCACAATGGTGCAGATGTATTCATTTTTTGATTTCTCTTAACGCTTGAATGCTTTTGCTAACCTTTATTTTTAAATTTCCTCTCTAACCATACACCTTTGTCTAATTTGATGTCAGTATTTCCTATTATTATAATCATTAATATTATTAGTAGTATTATTATTTATCTATTCGGTTCCTACTGTAACATAAGGCTTCAGTAGCACGTCGCCATCTCACTCTCTTCTCTGCAGTCTTTTGAACCTGGCTCCACGACAGCCCACAAGCTCTCATTTCCTCCTCGCACGATCTCCTCCATGTCACCCTCACCTCGAACGCCCAACTCGTCGTTTTCCCTTTGAATTTCACTCGACAGACTGGCCTGACGCGTGATGTCCCCAGTCGGTCTTCTCAGTGCATGCCCAATCCATCTCCACTTCCTCCTGCATATTTGTTGGGTGATAGGTTCTTGGTTGGTTCGTTGCCCAGCCAGAGTTCTTTCTTGTTTATTCTTTCTGGCCATCTGATCTTCAGTATGGAGTGAGCATAGGCGGCAGCTGTTGATGAATGTCTGTAGTTTGTTGGAAATACTTTTCGTAACTCGCCAAGTTTCTGAACCACATAGAAGCACTGACTTGACTGAATTAATGTTGAAAATCCAGATCTTGTTCTTTATGCTGAGTGCACTGCAGTAGATCTCCACACTGATTTCAGATTAATGCAGGCCTGTCTTGCTGTCTTACCAATCCTGGCTTTGACGTCCTTATCTGTGCCCATGCCGCCTGTGGTTGAAACGATGCTGCCTTGCCTGGGAAGGTAGGTGAAGGAGACTACTTCTTTTAGGTTTCTCCCGTTGATGGTGGTAGGTTGTTTGTCTGTTGTTGTTGATGATCGTGTTGTTGGTCGGGTGTCTTCATCACCTCTGTCTTCTCTACGTTCACCTGAAGGAAGTCCCATCTTCGCTGCCTCGCCTCGTCTCTTCTGTCAACTTGTTGGTTTTTGCCTGTAAATCTTCGAGTTTGTGCGACATCAGACACAAGTCATCGGCGAAATCCAAATCTTCTAGGTTCTTTTCCGCAGTCCAGACAGCGTATCCCCCTCTTCTCTCCTCACAGTTTGTTGCATGATCCAGTCTACTACAATCAGGAATATCATCTGTGATAGTAGGCAGCCTTGTTTCACTCCTGCCTTCATTTCAAAGGCGTCAGTGAGCTTCCCATTGTGGATCACTTGGCATGTGGCGTCTTCATATAGCTGTTGAATGAGTTTGATAAAGACTAGTGGTACTAAAACCGTAGTGTTGAAGCAACCGCCAAATTACTTGTCGGTCGATGCTGTCGAAGGCCTTCTCAAAGTCGATGAAGTTGAGGTAGAGGGTTGACTGCGATTTTATACTCTGTTCTATGATGATGCGTAGTGTAGCGCTGCAATTTGATCCGTATATGATTTGTTCTTCCTGAAACCAGCCAGCCAGCCAGCCTGTTCCAGTTGTGATTTTGAATCCAGTGCATCTTTTAGTCTCTCGAGAATGATGCTGCTCAATATTTCGCTTGGGGTGGACAGGGGTTGAACATGATTCCTCGCCAGTTCTTGCAAAGAGATAGGTCGCCTTTGTTTGGGAGTTTGACAAGGTAGCCTTTCCTCCAATCTGCAGGTATCTTCCCTTCCTTCCAAACCTTCTGCAACAGTGGTGTAAGCATGTCCGCTCTTGTCTCTGCGTCTGTTTTCAGTGCTTCTGGAGGAATTCCGCCTGGTCCTGTTGCTTTCCCGGATTTCAGCAACTTTATGGTGTTCAGGACTCCACTTCTGCTTTTGTCAGAGGGTTTGTGTTCACTGATAGTTCTGTGGCTGTGCTGCTGCTGCTGCTGGTATTTGTGGACGAGTTGCAGGTGGTGGTCGATTGAAGAGTTTTTTGAAGTGGTCAGCCCATTGTTCCCCTTGTTTCTCCTCTTTGGTAACTAGCTTTCCTTCACTATCTTTCATTGGTTTCGTCTGCGTTGATCTCTCCCCTCCCAGATAGTAACCTGGTTATTTGATATAATGTTGTCAGGTCTCTGTCTCTCCTACCTGCCAATGTGTCATAGAAGTGTCTTTTGTCTTTGCGTGCACTTTTTTTTCACCTCTTTGTCCAGTGTAGTGTTTTGTACGTTGTACTCAGTTCATCTTTTCATTTTGCATCCTTACACTGGTTCATCTTCTGCTTCTGCTTCATCATCTTCCTCTCCCTTCTCTATCAGTCTCCATGTGTCCGCCGAGATCCATACCTTGTCTTGCCCCTTCTTCTTCCTTCTTAGTACGGTTATGCTGGTTTGTTTCCACATAGCTTTCAAAGAGTTCCAGTGTTCATCCACACAGGTTTCTTCAGGATGTTGTTGAATGTCTCCCATTTTGTTCTGATGGCTGGCTGACGTGAAGATGTCCTTTGTTGTTTCGTTCTTCAGGTTCTGTTCTGAGCGTTGAACTTGATCTGTTGTCTATCACCAGCTTCTTTGAGGGCTTTCAGCTGGGTTTTGAAGACTTCTTGTACTAGATAGTGAGTGTGTGAACCTACATCTGCTCCTCTCCTTCATCTTGTGTCCAGTAGACTGGATCTCCACTTTCTCGAGATTGAAATGAAGTCGATCTGATTTTTAGTGTCTCCTGGTGTCTGGTGAAATCCATGTCGCTTTGTGAATGTCCTTGCGCTTGAACACAGTGCCTCAACTAATGAGTATTTCCTATCCACTTGTTGTTTCATGTTATTACTACTGTAAATTATGGCGACTGGAACTAATGCATTTTTGTGCGAGGTTCTGCAGTGATTTTGTCTATCTTCCGCAAATACATTGGAAACCACTTCTAACATAGGCAAACGTTTTCACTGAATTTCGGATGCTGAATGATAATGTGGTGGAGTATAGAACATCAAAATATCAATTCATCAGTGGGTTCAAGCTTATTTATGTTAAATATAATCGTCGAATTCCGGTTTGACTGAATGCGCTCGATGACCAGCCATATTATTCGTGTTATTTAATCGACCCATTCTAAAGTCTATGAAAATAGGCATTTTTCAATATACAATAGACCATACTGATTGGTTGAGTGTCTGTTAGAGTTTTATCTGAGTCCTGCTTGTAATTTTCATACTTCTATTATTCTACTAGTCACAAGTGCCTATTTGACTGGTTTTATGGATGAAAATGTTGATCCTGTGGAGTTTGGACAATGTAGGATTTACCAAAAATCTATATTTTCAAAATTCAAGAAGAATTTGATTGGCCATATTATCTTAATTGTGTATTTTTCTTCCTTCATGTAAAAGAACCAATACAATTTAGTAGTTTGTGCTAACACGTTGATTGAGCTACCATGTGAATCTGCCCGTTCACGTGTTGTCTCATCCTTATGGGAGAAGACAACGGATTTCCTGGTGCTTATCGAACAAGGAACAAAGTCTGGATTTCAAGCAATACTCGAAGCAAGAGAATTTTTGGTCAGTTGATTTTGTAAATTAAATAGTTTTGTTTTGTTGGCTTCCAGTTAGTGAATCACCATGTGGGTTTAGAAGTAGCGACTAGTTCGTCAGGGTTTCATTTCCTATCAACATGTTCAAATAACACTTATAAGGCTGTTTATTCCAATTAACCTTTGTATACAGCTTTTGTATTTGTGCTATAATATCCAGATATTCAGTGTTGTGATCATATTCTGTCATTATCAATCAAGTATATACTGGTTGAGTTAAAAAGCATGAGAACTAGTTGAAGTGAATGGGCAATTATTGGGTTAATGTCTCTAGATAAATAAGAAATTTATCATGTCAGTTTTGTGCATATTATGGATCACAACAGGTAATTAATCATGAATGTGGATCTGACAGTTCAGTTTTAAATCATATAAATGAATAATTGTCAAACACAAATGGTCTCACTGCCTCAAAGCATTTGGTAATGAGGTCTGTTTAGTTTTTTTAGATGAAATTATGTGGTTTAAGTGGATGATCAGAAAGACATGCTTAAGAGTTGAAGTGATGCTGTTAAATTTTTCTCCATAAAATTCTATCTTCAGTTGCGTAGCGGTTTCAGTGAATGCCATTTTGAATCATTCGATGACGTCCATCTGTATTCACAACTTGTGCCTTTTACATACTTCCATCGTTTACAGGTCGTACACTTCTATCTTATGGTTGCAGAAATTAGCAAACCCAGCCTATGTGTATAGTTTTAGGATCTTAGGTAATTAAACTTGTATAAACTGTTTTCGACTCTGTTGGAACTTGATTATGTTTGCTACTCTTTGAGCTGCTTCCAAAGCAGGAGATAAGGAAATTAACAACATTATACTCTAAAAACTACTGAATGGTGTTTAGGCTTCTGCCGCTGATCAATACTCAAACTGCACAACGCTTTAACCACTTATAATTACCATGTGTGCACAACCCTGCGTCCATAATTGATGTGTTCGTATGGTTGACGGAGAACTGTTGACCGCAAGTCAAATGTTAAAGATCGTTCCCTGCAGACTAATGTAGGCCACAACCTACGTCTAGGCAGCTTGCATTCACAAAAGACTGACTAACAAATAAATAGGTTGAGTTCATGTTACCGTGTTTCACAGCAGTGCAAAAAGAGGAAGTGACACAGGGATATCAAACTGAATGGGATGCATGAAACAGAAAATGAAGACACCACCGTTTTTTTGAAATCTGAACTTGAATATATCACATTCCAACCAGCTACCAATGAATTGTGTATTTTTGACTAATTCTGGATTTTGAGTTTCTTTCTAAACTGTGATCACTATTTCGTGTGCGTGATGCTCATCTTGTGCTTCAGGAGTTAGCAAGCTTTCTATTACTGACACTTCGAAGTAGGGCGGTCGGTTGCATCTATTTTGGCGATAAAATGTTAAGCCTAACTAGATTTAAGTCTTGATGTCGATTTCATTGAATGTGTAGAAATGCTTCTGGTATAAGTATACACAAGACTCTCTAAATAGCGAGTAAAGCTGCTTGAGAAATGGAAGAACATCTTGTTCATAAACAGCATCTATGACAGTACTTCCCAAACTGAACATATTTCACGTACTCATCTTATAGGTGTCCTCATAACTGACTGTTTGTTGTCTCTAAAATCGAATGCAAAAGCCTAAAGCTGGTCAGTTTACCACATGAAATTGTATATTGTAAGATATTTGTGTTGGGTTAGCACCTATTGGTTCATCATGACTGCTTAGGTGAAAATGATGAGAACATGTCAGTCGGTGATATGACTAAAGTACGAGGTCATTCGTGATCACACATTTGAGAAGGGTAGAAGAAACATAGTATTGGCTTTCTGAGTGTAATACCTCGAACTGCTTACTGTTTTCTAACCGTTCTAGTATTCTTTATTTCGCCTCTTCCTCTACTTACTTTGTTTGTTTGATGCATTTCTAAATGCCCATGTCGTCCTTAAACTAAAAAGAAGAAAAATGGTTTTATGGGATTATTCATGGTTGTGTTGTAAGAAAGTCTGTACAGAAGCTTCTGTAGTTCGGGAGATACAGCTGTGTTGGTTCACTCACTGTGTACATATTGATATTTCTGTAATTGTCGGATGAATCGACCGAAAGGTGGCGATTTCACAAAACTTGGCGTCGCTGAACTGGCTAGGATGTAAGAGTACGCTGTGTAAATCGTGTAAAGCTGTGAGATGTGTGGGGTTGCTATGTGTTCAGTTAGATAAATTATTTTCTGTGTAAGAACGTCACCAATGTATTTCAGTATTTAGCAACGCCTATTTTATTATTGATTTATTGTCAGTATCCATGTATATATCTTTCTAGACACCTTATAAATGTTCGATGTACTTTTTCTTTCAGCTTACCAATGGTGGGCCTGATGTTCATATTTTTGGTCCTGTAAGTGGTCCGTTTTAATCCCAAGTTTCTGTAAGCCTTTTGAATTCCGGTAGTAACTGGGATAGAACTCTCCTGTGTGGGATGCATGCTCATCTGTTTGGCTGTTGGCTGCAACTTCTGCGGTTGAGAATTGTCGTTATGATGAGACTGATATAAACATACTGCCTAGTTTTATAGATGTATAAAGCTGCTGAACTTCATTTAAATTGTTTATATTAAAGTGGTTTACGGCCTATGGTGTTCGACATTTGTGCGCGTAGCCAAGTAAACAGTTAATGCCCAAATCAGCTAGACTTTTGGTGATCCTGATAATCAAAGTAGTTACCTAGATTCGTATTGCCGTACTAGCTTTACACATTATTATCTTAACTGATTAGTTTGTTTAACGTTTGGTATCTTGAGAGGAGATCTACGCAACTATATGTATTTATGTAGTTTATGTGATAGATCCCTGCACTCCGTTTTGAGGAGGTTGATGAGGATTGTAAGCTCATTCACTCTCTTCAATTCATGCGAAATTAGTCATGTACCTGTTCTTATTCAGCATATTTTTACTTTGTTTCCTTCTCTTAACCTAGTAAGTTGATGGTTCATATTATCACCATCGTTTGTTACTCTTGTATTCCTTCTTAAAAATAAGTGTATCACATGAGTAGGATTAAATCGTTATCGAAGGGTTTGTGTTAGACTCAGGTGCGAATTTAGGCGTCATAAATAGCTCACCGACAACGCACATGACTCATAGGACGTTGAATAGAGAAACCCATAATCACCAATAATAGCACGTTAAATGAGTGTCAGAAAGTATACACGCTGACTGTAAGGCTTCGTACTGGTTACTTTCAACCACCGAACATCGGTATGTACATTAAGCGATGTAGAGTGGCTGCGTGCCACCTTGAAAATATTACAACATTAATGTATTCACTCAGTTTTCGGTTACTTTTATCCGTCTAGGTTTCAAGATTATGCATTAAATCCACCTAATTAAAGGTGAAGATATTTCTATTAGTGATTCCTCATAATATTGATCTTTTGTGATAGATGATGAAATTTATCGCTTTGTAAATAAACTGTTTTCTTTATAACTCTCAGGTGAGTTAAATTAAACTGTCAATTTTCCCTTCCAGTGTCCTCATGCACAAACTTGTTGGAAAAAGGGTTCCATTTGTAATATTCCAATACGGTACTACAACTTTGATTTAACACGGGTGAGTGCCTTTAAGTTGTTTTGAAAAGCAAAGTCCCTACCTGCTTTTGATTTTGAAGTGAGTGACACATGAATAGGTGATGTGCTCGATGTTAGGTATTAGTTGATTTTGACGTATTATCATGTGCTTGATCAGATTTATGATGAAATTGGGCTAATTGCGGTAGTTGAACAATTTCTTAACTTAGACATACATATACACTAGTTACCACTCAATGTACGAAACCAATTGTAGAAACTTCTTAGGAGAGGAAAGGTATTGGTTGGCATCCCAGCCAGTTTTCAGGAATGTATGGTTTTGTAACACAAATTCTAATGCAAATCCTCGTCACAATGCTACACAGCAGCAGGGTGAGAAGTATACGGGGACTGAGACAGCATTGACAACTGATTGGAGCTACTGTATTATTGTAGTGGGCGCTGCTGATCAGAATGGATATAATTAGTATATGTTGAGAGGTCGGAAGAAATCATAGGGAATTACCAGCAATCGGTAAAGATTCTGCCCGGAGAAAGGTAAGAGAATGTGTGCGTATTGTGAGCAAATCGAGATAGAAGCATAAGAGAAAATGAAGCACACTGTGCAAATGACTGTCTTAGTGGGAAGTGTACAATATTTGATGGCTACTGTACACAGTATCAATAATAAACATTCCTTCCTGTATCTCAGTGTTCTCGTTTCCTACGTTATTAGTTGCTGATAGATTTTGATTTTCTCACTCTTTGGTGAGATCTGACTGAAATATCAGAATCAGTGATTATTTCTGCAATGAGATTGGGAGTTTAAATTTCGATGTAACACTGAGCTACGAATGTTATTCTGAAGTGTGGAAAATGTATTTATTCTTATGGAATCGATGTTAGTCATTTATTATTCTAGTGTTTAAAAAATCTGTGGTATTTCACACAAATGCTAAAATGACAATGAAGTTTGAAAACTATCGAAGATCTTTCAAATGGTGGAGAATCATGCGAAATGTTTGAGCAGATCATAAGTGTTTAGGTCAGATATTTCAAACTATGAGATCGCTAACCTCGATGCAACGATCATTATTCTTGAATTCAGATACCCCTCATGGTTGGTCATCTGTACATCAAGCTGTATTATCCTATATGCTAAATCCAAAGACATGTTCCAATTGTATTTAAGGAAATAAAAACAAAAAACTGTCTTAAATATGGTACTGAAATAATGACGTGTATAGGTGTTTCACACACCATCAAAAGTACAACTAGGCGTGCCCAAATTCAAATGAAGTACACATGGGTGTATAAAGTAGTAATCCTTAGATCATCAAAACGGGAATTACAACAATGCATACGACGAGGTGAAGGGCAAGCAAGGGAACAACTTTTTATTATTATTATTTGTCCCTTGGGTTCCTAGTGGAGCATAAGGCTTCAGTAGCACGTCGCCATCTCACTCTCTTCTCTGCAGTCTTTTGAACCTGGCTCCACGACAGCCCACAAGCTCTCATTTCCTCCTCGCACGATCTCCTCCATGTCACCCTCACCTCGAACGCCCAACTCGTCGTTTTCCCTTTGAATTTCACTCGACGGACTGGCCTGACGCGTGATGTCCCCAGTCGGTCTTCTCAGTGCATGCCCGATCCATCTCCACTTCCTCCTGCATATTTGTCGGGTGATAGGTTCTTGGTTGGTTCGTTGCCCAGCCAGAGTTCTTTCTTGTTTATTCTTTCTGGCCATCTGATCTTCAGTATGGAGTGAGCATAGGCGGCAGCTGTTGATGAATGTCTGTAGTTTGTTGGAAATACTTTTCGTAACTCGCCAAGTTTCTGAACCACATAGAAGCACTGACTTGACTGAATTAATGTTGAAAATCCAGATCTTGTTCTTTATGCTGAGTGCACTGCAGTAGATCTCCACACTGATTTCAGATTAATGCAGGCCTGTCTTGCTGTCTTACCAATCCTGGCTTTGACGTCCTTATCTGTGCCCATGCCGCCTGTGGTTGAAACGATGCTGCCTTGCCTGGGAAGGTAGGTGAAGGAGACTACTTCTTTTAGGTTTCTCCCGTTGATGGTGGTAGGTTGTTTGTCTGTTGTTGTTGATGATCGTGTTGTTGGTCGGGTGTCTTCATCACCTCTGTCTTCTCTACGTTCACCTGAAGGAAGTCCCATCTTCGCTGCCTCGCCTCGTCTCTTCTGTCAACTTGTTGGTTTTTGCCTGTAAATCTTCGAGTTTGTGCGACATCAGACACAAGTCATCGGCGAAATCCAAATCTTCTAGGTTCTTTTCCGCAGTCCAGACAGCGTATCCCCCTCTTCTCTCTCCTCACAGTTTGTTGCATGATCCAGTCTACTACAATCAGGAATATCATCTGTGATAGTAGGCAGCCTTGTTTCACTCCTGCCTTCATTTCAAAGGCGTCAGTGAGCTTCCCATTGTGGATCACTTGGCATGTGGCGTCTTCATATAGCTGTTGAATGAGTTTGATAAAGACTAGTGGTACTAAAACCGTAGTGTTGAAGCAACCGCCAAATTACTTGTCGGTCGATGCTGTCGAAGGCCTTCTCAAAGTCGATGAAGTTGAGGTAGAGGGTTGACTGCGATTTTATACTCTGTTCTATGATGATGCGTAGTGTAGCGCTGCAATTTGATCTGTATATGATTTGTTCTTCCTGAAACCAGCCAGCCAGCCAGCCTGTTCCAGTTGTGATTTTGAATCCAGTGCATCTTTTAGTCTCTCGAGAATGATGCTGCTCAATATTTCGCTTGGGGTGGACAGGGGTTGAACATGATTCCTCGCCAGTTCTTGCAAAGAGATAGGTCGCCTTTGTTTGGGAGTTTGACAAGGTAGCCTTTCCTCCAATCTGCAGGTATCTTCCCTTCCTTCCAAACCTTCTGCAACAGTGGTGTAAGCATGTCCGCTCTTGTCTCTGCGTCTGTTTTCAGTGCTTCTGGAGGAATTCCGCCTGGTCCTGTTGCTTTCCCGGATTTCAGCAACTTTATGGTGTTCAGGACTCCACTTCTGCTTTTGTCAGAGGGTTTGTGTTCACTGATAGTTCTGTGGCTGTGCTGCTGCTGCTGCTGGTATTTGTGGACGAGTTGCAGGTGGTGGTCGATTGAAGAGTTTTTTGAAGTGGTCAGCCCATTGTTCCCCTTGTTTCTCCTCTTTGGTAACTAGCTTTCCTTCACTATCTTTCATTGGTTTCGTCTGCGTTGATCTCTCCCCTCCCAGATAGTAACCTGGTTATTTGATATAATGTTGTCAGGTCTCTGTCTCTCCTACCTGCCAATGTGTCATAGAAGTGTCTTTTGTCTTTGCGTGCACTTTTTTTCACCTCTTTGTCCAGTGTAGTGTTTTGTACGTTGTACTCAGTTCATCTTTTCATTTTGCATCCTTACACTGGTTCATCTTCTGCTTCTGCTTCATCATCTTCCTCTCCCTTCTCTATCAGTCTCCATGTGTCCGCCGAGATCCATACCTTGTCTTGCCCCTTCTTCTTCCTTCTTAGTACGGTTATGCTGGTTTGTTTCCACATAGCTTTCAAAGAGTTCCAGTGTTCATCCACACAGGTTTCTTCAGGGATGTTGTTGAATGTCTCCCATTTTGTTCTGATGGCTGGCTGACGTGAAGATGTCCTTTGTTGTTTCGTTCTTCAGGTTCTGTTCTGAGCGTTGAACTTGATCTGTTGTCTATCACCAGCTTCTTTGAGGGCTTTCAGCTGGGTTTTGAAGACTTCTTGTACTAGATAGTGAGTGGTGTGAACCTACATCTGCTCCTCTCCTTCATCTTGTGTCCAGTAGACTGGATCTCCACTTTCTCGAGATTGAAATGAAGTCGATCTGATTTTTAGTGTGTCCTGGTGTCTGGTGAAATCCATGTCGCTTTGTGAATGTCCTTGTGTTTGTACACATTGCCTCCAATCATCAAATCGTTGAATGCACAGAAACCTGCAAACAGTTCACCGTTCTCATTCATTTCACTGAGTGCATCTCAACCCATGGTTAGTTCTCTTCCTGTGTTGTCTGCTCCGAGTTTGGCATTCATGTCACCCATTGGAATGAATTTTGATATCGCCGTCTGAGTTGTGGTCTTGTTTATTACTGATTGCAGTTGTCTATAGAATCCCTCCTTCTTCTCGTGATCTGGATTATTTATAGATGCGTGGCGGAGCATTGTATGATTATGAATTTCCTTCCTTTTGAGTTGAATCTTGCTGTTATGATCCTGCAGGAGGAGATTGGTTCTCACTACATGAGAGCCTTCGATGTTGTTGGAGACATCATGATAGGCACTCCAAAACTCATTTTGCTCGTGGTTGTCGTCTGGGTGAGAATATCGGGGCAGATTATTGACTCTCCAGTTGACAGTTGGGAGAGTCCACTTCCATTCCATCTACTTTCTCAGATTCCTAGCACTTCTATGCCACACCTCCTCATCTCTTTTGCAATCTGAGCAGCCTTGGTAGATTTATATATGGTGCGGACATCCCATGTCCCCGTTCTTACTTTCGCTTTCATCGAGAGAGAGAAGACACATAGGCTGACTGGCTTTCCGAAGGCTTTCACCAACCGAGGTCATTTCGTCGTCCCCGATTCTAGTGAGGAATAAGTTTTTTTATAATCTGTTTGTGCTTTGAAGTTTCTTTTCGGTTGGATTGGTTTTTCGGTGTAGGGTTGCTAGCCATATACTCATCCTTCCCTCTTTACCCGGAGCTTAGGACCGGCTAGTAATCTGGCCAACTACTTTGCGAGGCGAGCTAGCAAATGATAAAGGTTGAGGTGCAGTACAGTAGGATGTGTCAAGAAAACCATTTATATGGTTATAAGAAGCTGTCTAAAGATGCGGTTGGGAAGATTCTTCAGTTGTTGATATGAAGCAAAATATAGTAAATGACAAATATTATTATTTGTTGACATGCTTATAAATTTCCCGTTGTTATAGTGTATTGAATTGATCCACCTCTGTTTGCATATAGACTCCTAAGCGGATGCCTTGGTATTGCGTGAATACTTATTGTTATAATTGATATGGTTGTGGCTAGTAGCGGAGTCCAAGATGCGTGTTTCCTAGATAACGCTTTGGCCTCTGAAGCGATGCATGCTACGTTCGATTTTGGGTGGGAATAACATCATTCATTGAGATGCAGGTACATCCACCTGACAAGTCTCTAAAAGGATGAAACGTGCATCCTGGGCTCTACTGCTAGCCACAACTAGATCGTTTGTAAAAATGACAAATAGACAAATACTACTAAGTATTGTAATTTTTCGACTAGGTAGCCTATAACTGTAAGCTCCAAAGAGAGTACAAGGGCAGAAATCTGGCCAAAAAATAGAGGGTAAGTCAAGTGTAGCATAAAATGTAAATAACAGTTGCTTTCTCACGCTATTGTGAAAAGTTTTCAGGTTTTTTAATGCTCCCTTTTGTGACACATACTGGTGGAGAAACCAACGCATTGGAGATATATCGTGTCATTCAATGACTGACTTTTTTTCACTACTTTTACTAGGAACTTCACCATTTGCGTACTTCAAACTTCTACTGATGAGGTGGCGCTTAGCTGTTCAGCGTATACACCATATGCTTCACTAGATTTTTGTAGTGGCTAACTCAGTAATGTCGACTGATGGTTTCGACATAGAAAGGAAATCATTTCTTGAGTCATCAAACCTTTGCTTTTAGCATCGCGAGGCAGAGGGTTGTTCACCAGCATTTTATGCAAATTATCATTATCACAGTTGCTTTTCTTATCGACTGGTGGAATCAACATTAACAGACACAGCGAGCAGACTAGATAGACAGTTAATGACCGGCTGGTAAAATAAAGAATATCACGCAATCTGTCAAGTTAAGGAGTGTGCTGAGTGAGGATTGCAAACTGGCCACTGCATGTCGGAGAGGTCTAGTTGAACCCCTACATTTAACGTCTCACCTGGGTGCATACTAAGCATTTTGCCCCTCTGCTTTGAGTTCTGTTACTCCTAATTGACTCCCTAATTTCGATTTTTCAGCCTCGACTTTCATATAAATATACTAGTATTTTCTATTTTCAGTTCAAAAGTGAAGCATCCACCGAGTTGGTATCTTACTTAATTGTATCCCGTGGAGATTGGCGAAGACATCAAGTCCCAGTTGTTAAATCTGAGCCGGATCAATTGCCACGCATTGTTTCCCACAATTTGTTTAAATGTGATCATGTTATTCATGATATCTGTTTACCTTGTGGTGCGATTGAACGTGTTATCTTCCCTAAACAACAGACAGAGAAGTAAGTGTCTGTCGAAAGTATATTATTATCTTGACATTAATAATGGATAGTGGCTAGCAGTGGAATCCAGGATGCGCGTTTCGTCCTATTTGGAACCCGTCAGTGAGTGATGTTTCCATCAGGAGTCGAACTCAGGACTATTCACTTCAAACGTCAAAGAGTTATCCACTAGGTCACCGAGTTACTAAAGCCACCCCGTACGAGGGTTATAATATATTTTTGGTGTTATAGCTATAAAATCAGAGATACATTAATATTGTTTATGAACAACTACCTTTAACCTCTGGAGCTTCGGTTTAGTCACTGGATGAACTTTAAAACTAGTGACTGTTTACTCTCTGTTCTTGTGGTCACTGTTGGTCTTTATCATAGACCACAAAAACATGTACATTTTTGAGTAGTTATATTATTTACTTGAGTCATGGTGAAACAATTGACTAGTGACAGGGAAGTCATTGTAATATGGGTTGAGTGTTAAATGAAACTAGTCGAATCTACTCCTCATGGTTTTCCCTTAATTCAATTCTGAATATCATCAAATGAAGCAGTTTAAACTTGTGTACTTGTTGAAATGAAGTGATTTGGATTGAATAGATTCATTTTCAACCTAAATGGCGAAGGTATTTGGTTTTTCGATTGCATGAAGTAGACTGAATCTGAAACCATTTATCCCTGTGTACATGTAAGCGCACTGTGTGATGCCAAGTTACTGAAGGTGTATATTCATCTAGTCATCATCCACTTCATTGAATAAATTGACCGCTCACCTAAAATTATTGATTTATTCTTCAATCAAATTGAAGGTAAGGTACGTTTGATAGATTAAATATCTTTATTTGTTAATCGTATGTACCTAAATAAGTGTAAAGAAGTAATTTGTGTTTGAAAAGGTCAAAATTTATAAGATAGGAATCTCTGAATTTACCTAGTAATTACACTAATGTGAAGATGAAAGCACGATACTTAAATTTCTGCTACAGATTTCATCAGGAGTCCATCCTGATGCCACCTGATTCATTTTCTCTTTCAAATACCTTGCGGAAACAACTTTGGTGTGGGCAGTCAGAAAGTATCAACCGCTCATACGCTTACAGCAGCATAAAAAACCCAATTAGCCATAATTAATCTTCATTTTCTTTGTCACTTTCCCTACCTTTACTTACTGAGATCAATATTAAACCCTTTCTATCTCTCGATTTAAGATCATTGCTAACTATGTAACCCAGAGAAACATTCCTAGTGGCTTTAAACCACACTGCCAATTTCACATTGGATCTGTCAACGTCCGATCCATATGCTAAATTGGAACACAGGCCTCAGTTGCTAAAATTCTGAAACCTCGAGCTGTGGGTGTATTCTGTTTCTTAGATGCACATGCAGGATCCAAGTGTAATTACTCACTTGAACTCACCTCGTGAATGTGATGAATCCACAGAATCCACTTCACGAGAGACCGAAGATTCAGTAGCTATCTTTTATAGACTTACTGGTGTAGGTATGGCATCAGTTTGTTGAACAGAAAGCGCACTTCTCGACTGTATACCAGTTAACAACTTTTTCCCCCGAATAAGTGGGTTTTTAAAACCCGGGAAGGATCGTGACACTTTTCGATGTCTATTCGTAATCAACACTGAAAGTTTCAGATATATCCATGGTACTGGATGAGTTGAAGTCTCAAGCAGGGAGAATAAAGTAATCTGAAAACATCTTTTGAAGTGTCTACGATATCCCATGCCAAGAGACCGGTGACCCTGACTGTCTCTGACGATTTCCTCCTGACAACTACTTGTTTTTAGCGAACACTAACTTCAAGCACAGCCAGAAACAGTTGTACCCGTCATCCAATGACATTAAACCAACAGTCGACAGAGATAGATCATCTTGCCATAATGTATTATTTAAAAGGATCGGTAGAGGATTGCTGCTTTTTCTAGAGTACATGGATGATTCCAATTGCATGTTAGAAAGAGCACATGCATGTTTGTGGTCTAATGGCCACAGACAGCAGCGAAGCCTGTGTGTTCTCGACTGGAAAGTGATAACCTCAAGTATGAATCTTCGGAGGAGGCAACTTGGTATTTATCTGAACAAGACAACAGTTCTATTCTTAATAGGACCTGGTGTAATATTCAATCCGTTGTAGAACCAGCGATAAACAGTCGGTAAGCTACACCCAAAAGTTAACAAAAGCCAGTAGCAAAGGTCAATGGGTTTCCTTAACTTCATCTGAGCTCATTGATACGCGAAGAATCATTTCAATTGGCCGTGACCCTAATGAAAAGCAAATGCACCTCAGATATAAATTGACTAAAAGTCAATACAATGACTGTGGGTCAGTGGTATAGGGAGATGACTGTCAACCAATGGGTCGCAGGTTTGAGCCCCACTCCACCTACCGAGGTTTGGGCAGACAAGTAGTATCACTAGCCCTCACAAAATAGGCGTGGCGCATTGCCTACTGCACTGGTATGGACAAGGTAGATGATCGCGTTCCATTCCAATTCAATGACCAAGAGCATTGGTGTGCAGTGAAAGGAATGAAAGAGGCATCAACACTAGGCAGTACTCGACATTTAATTTGGCCCATTAAGGTTACTGGCAGGGAGACGATAGTGAGGCTGTCGTCGAAAGGGATGAGTTCGTGATAGTCTTTCAGGAAAGGTGGCTAGAACGTCGAGAAAAACACTTTGAAGAACAGTTACACTGGCCCACAAACAAGCTACAGTTGCCCAGCGTACAACCCCAACCTGAATTACATCTTGATGCGAATCCCTCAAGTCTCCTCGAAGTTGAGACGGTACTTTCGAAAATGAAGTGATGCAAGGCGAAAGAACCTGATGGTTTCACACTAGAAGTTATGAAAGATTATTCTATACTCTGTTCTATGATGATGCGTAGTGTAGCGCTGCAATTTGATCCGTATATGATTTGTTCTTCCTGAAACCAGCCAGCCAGCCAGCCTGTTCCAGTTCATCTTTTAGTCTCTCGAGAATGATGCGGCTCAATATTTCGCTTGGGGTGGACAGGGGTTGAACATGATTCCTCGCCAGTTCTTGCAAAGAGATAGGTCGCCTTTGTTTGGGAGTTTGACAAGGTAGCCTTTCCTCCAATCTGCAGGTATCTTCCCTTCCTTCCAAACCTTCTGCAACAGTGGTGTAAGCATGTCCGCTCTTGTCTCTGCGTCTGTTTTCAGTGCTTCTGGAGGAATTCCGCCTGGTCCTGTTGCTTTCCCGGATTTCAGCAACTTTATGGTGTTCAGGACTCCACTTCTGCTTTTGTCAGAGGGTTTGTGTTCACTGATAGTTCTGTGGCTGTGCTGCTGCTGCTGCTGCTGCTGCTGCTGCTGCTGCTGCTGCTGCTGGTATTTGTGGACGAGTTGCAGGTGGTGGTCGATTGAAGAGTTTTTGAAGTGGTCAGCCCATTGTTCCCCTTGTTTCTCCTCTTTGGTAACTAGCTTTCCTTCACTATCTTTCATTGGTTTCGTCTGCGTTGACCTCTCCCCTCCCAGATAGTAACCTGGTTATTTGATATAATGTTGTCAGGCCTCTGTCTCTCCTACCTGCCAATGTGTCATAGAAGTGTCTTTTGTCTTTGCGTGCACTTTTTTTTCACCTCTTTGTCCAGTGTAGTGTTTTGTACGTTGTACTCAGTTCATCTTTTCATTTTGCATCCTTACACTGGTTCATCTTCTGCTTCTGCTTCATCATCTTCCTCTCCCTTCTCTATCAGTCTCCATGTGTCCGCCGAGATCCATACCTTGTCTTGCCCCTTCTTCTTCCTTCTTAGTACGGTTATGCTGGTTTGTTTCCACATAGCTTTCAAAGAGTTCCAGTGTTCATCCACACAGGTTTCTTCAGGGATGTTGTTGAATGTCTCCCATTTTGTTCTGATGGCTGGCTGACGTGAAGATGTCCTTTGTTGTTTCGTTCTTCAGGTTCTGTTCTGAGCGTTGAACTTGATCTGTTGTCTATCACCAGCTTCTTTGAGGGCTTTCAGCTGGGTTTTGAAGACTTCTTGTACTAGATAGTGAGTGGTGTGAACCTACATCTGCTCCTCTCCTTCATCTTGTGTCCAGTAGACTGGATCTCCACTTTCTCGAGATTGAAATGAAGTCGATCTGATTTTTAGTGTGTCCTGGTGTCTGGTGAAATCCATGTCGCTTTGTGAATGTCCTTGTGTTTGTACACATTGCCTCCAATCATCAAATCGTTGAATGCACAGAAACCTGCAAACAGTTCACCGTTCTCATTCATTTCACTGAGTGCATCTCAACCCATGGTTAGTTCTCTTCCTGTGTTGTCTGCTCCGAGTTTGGCATTCATGTCACCCATTGGAATGAATTTTGATATCGCCGTCTGAGTTGTGGTCTTGTTTATTACTGATTGCAGTTGTCTATAGAATCCCTCCTTCTTCTCGTGATCTGGATTATTTATAGATGCGTGGCGGAGCATTGTATGATTATGAATTTCCTTCCTTTTGAGTTGAATCTTGCTGTTATGATCCTGCAGGAGGAGATTGGTTCTCACTACATGAGAGCCTTCGATGTTGTTGGAGACATCATGATAGGCACTCCAAAACTCATTTTGCTCGTGGTTGTCGTCTGGGTGAGAATATCGGGGCAGATTATTGACTCTCCAGTTGACAGTTGGGAGAGTCCACTTCCATTCCATCTACTTTCTCAGATTCCTAGCACTTCTATGCCACACCTCCTCATCTCTTTTGCAATCTGAGCAGCCTTGGTAGATTTATATATGGTGCGGACATCCCATGTCCCCGTTCTTACTTTCGCTTTCATCGAGAGAGAGAAGACACATAGGCTGACTGGCTTTCCGAAGGCTTTCACCAACCGAGGTCATTTCGTCGTCCCCGATTCTAGTGAGGAATAAGTTTTTTTATATTTTATTTGTGCATAGCATGTTGAATTTTGTTTTCGTAGTTGAATTCATCAGGAGAATTTTATTGTGATAAAATATCGTTTTTAAACACACGAAGATAGTTTGAACTTCCTAATAGCTGAAGGCTCAATAAATTTAGGTATCCGTTTTTAAATAGGTCTAAGGAAAGTGACTGGTCTCAAGGATATGTTTCACGATCGAAGAACTTGGACGTCCGCTGCCAGCGTTTATGGGTTCAGGTGATTTAATTTGCTTCTGAAGCCACGTTGAAATATGTTCCGAGGCCCTTGGATGAATCTATGAGTCCTTCTAATGTATGTGTCACTACACGTACATTTGAATTGGTAGATACAATGCTATATGCCATTGTCGTTCATATGTTGTAGGGGTTAGGGAGAATATACGAGCTTGGTGGTTGCCATTAATCGAACCCTAGCTTTAAGTTAAACCCTTCTAACAGCAGCGTTAAGTCTCTGTTTAAGGATTACACTATGAGAGTCACCTTTGTGTGGAAAACCTATAAAAGGCATATCTTTTTTTTGGGACAAAGTGAAGAGCTGGTTTTGGCGCTTTGATTATTTTGTGCTGCCTAATAAATTTTGATGGATAGTTATTTTCCAACTGTATTTCAGTCAATGTTCTTCTTTTGTCTTCCAAAGTACTTCTGTGCATATTCGTTTACTTCTACTGCATAAGTACTTCACTAAAGCTCGTTTGTACTGAACTGGACAAAAGCTATGATGATTCAAATATTACCTTGTTCATGTGGGTTTTTTGTAGATAGATCGTTTTATGGATCCATCCTGCCACCGACTAATTAATATGTCCAAAAATGGCAAGCAGTCATCTTCACGACGTGTAGTGTGAGCCAGAGTCATAATAGTTTAGAAGAAGGTTCGAGGTAGCTAGATGAAGTTGTGAAATCAGTCCATGATATCTCTGGCTATTTGTCCGAGCCCTGTAAAGAGGTATAGACTATCTGTTCGTGGTTTTGGGTATGGCAGGAATCAATATTTGAAGAGGGGCTTGATGAAAAGACTGAAAATCGCGTAGTGTGGCACAGATGTATTTACTCTTTGACGTCTGCTAAGTTGTGAATATTATCATTAAGCTTCATTCTTCGAATTCTTTCTCCTTCTATACATTTCTTCTACTTTAATGTTACTCTTTTTCTCCACATTTTCTGCGTATCCTGTTATGATGAGTAGCAACGTGAACCGATACACTTATTTGCAAGTTGAAGCGTTGATTTTGTCTGTTTCTCTTAAAAAAGCACGTCTGAAGAACGTCTTCAGCTTTACATTTTACTGAAGATCCCATCTTATCGACTGTACTTTCTTATTACTAACTTAGAGTCGTAGTTAATTTACTTAGAAATACTAGCTGTTGTAGATTTCAGAGACCAAGTATAAAGCACATCAGCACTTTTCGGTAGTTGGCTAATAAAATCTATTGACAAATATTCTCATTTAAGCAAATTTGATTTAAACAATTCCATTTTATCATTTTGACTGAGATAGCCGTGGTTTGGCAGACTAGTTATTGATACCAGAAACCACTGACCCTTGGTAATTGAAGTGAAATAAAAGATATTTTTAAAAATCTGGTCAGCAGTAGGACCTCGTAGCTCAGTTGGTAGAGCATAGGGCCAGAAACTTGGTGATTGCTAGTTCGAATCTGGCTGCGGTCCGAATTTTCATTTCACTTTCAATCATCGCCCAGTATTAATTCCATTTTAGTTGATTTAGATGTATTACACAGCAGAACAATATTATTTACTGGACTACGTTTCGGACACGATTTGATTTGGACAAATTTGAATGTTTCGTTTCTTTTCCTTTAAATCCCTAGGACTTTATATTACTTTATGAGACAAGCGCACGCAGGTGATATTGTACCTGCTAAGGTGGTGAACGAAAATGAATCTGAGTGCTTTCCTGAAGAAATGGATGAAGGTGATAAGAATGGTGAGGCCGTATCTATCAAGTCATCTGCGTAACAATTCAACCAGATTTTGTACATACCAACAAAAGACAATCTTTACTAATAAATGAACACTTACGTAAATAAAGTGATATAAGTATGAAAATACTATACAACAATATTCACTTTCTTGAATTTTTTTGCTTCCTATCATTAGCTTATGTATCGTTTTGTTTTGCTTTACGACAATAAACCGTTCTATCTTTACTGTTTCAAACAGTCGTTTCCTGGAGTTGTTCCGTTCCAGTTTTAGTAGCTATAATAGTGATACCAACTACTGTCATAATGCAGTTTTCTTGCTGAGGTAAGCGTCTTACAGCAAGTTCGTACTGCTTTCTGGACAACAGTTTAACGATATTCAGCCATATTACCTCCTCACTCTGGCAGGAAAGTTGGAAAATGTCTGTCTTAGTTATGCATCACACCTCAATGGTTAGTTCTCATGGATTTGGTTCCAGAGTAGTAAAGGTGCTGTTTTCATCGGGATCCTAACTGACAGTTACCTCTGTATACCAAGTGACTACGGTTCGAATGATATGAAAATTATGAATTCTAGTACACACTATCAACCTTGCTATAAAAAATCTAACGTTTAGGCACTCTGGTTAGTGAATGACTTTATTGTTTGAATAAGAAGGCTAGTAAGCTAATATTGTTACTGCTTAACTGTCCAAGTTGACACACCTCACATGAACACGTCAAAATACAAGACAACAGTCCAAAACAATAAGGAAATGCATTCAAATTAGTCTAAAGTCATAAGGAGAGAAAACGAAAAGAACTGGATGGGATGACAACGAAATGCGATATGAAAAATTAAATAACTTCAATATACTTGAAAGTATATCCACTACTGATATCGATTATAAGCCACATAATATAAAGGCTTCAAACACCGGTTTCTGTTGTCATGGCAATCTACATTTCACTACGCAGTTCAAAGCTACAGTCCAAGACTTCGCGAACTTACACTGCTCTTTATTCTGGCCACCCTTAACCTTTTCCAGTCAAAGTCTATTTTAGCTAACATAGCGTGACGGCGGGGTAGATGGTAACTAGTTATGTGTTACACATGTTCCAGTCACCATTGTCCATAAAGGTTTACTATCTCATCGACTGTTTAAACCAGGTGGGAATACATTTTCGGTGTTTTTGGAATCCAGTGCTGAATGTTTATCTGCTATAGCGATTGTGAAACATAAGGTTCATCAATATGTTGCATGACAATGTTAAATTAGTTGAACTTGACTTCGCTGAATTACCTGAACCTACTACTATGTACTTTATGTGGTGTTAAGAGAAAAGTGCAAGGATATTTTCATCATCGATTCTCTGGAAAATGAGCTTATAGTGTCATGGAATCAATCTGCAATCGATTATAACTGCAGCAGCTTATACACTAATTCATCAGTAATAAATGTAAGTACCACTGGAGAACATTGAATAATCTGGTGTCTACAGCTATTCGACATGCAAGTGCGGTTCTACGATGATTTTGTCTGTCTCTGTGGATCTTCGCAACGTTGAATACTGTAGGTGCAGATAGATTTAAGGTATAATGATTAGTTACTGGAGGGTAACCAACTTCATGTAGTCCTAAGTTCTAATCAAATTCTATCGACCATTTTGCAATGTGGCCACCAGGTTACGAGGCTCACCATCACGATGCACTAAGAAAGATGTCATTTGGATGGAAGCAAGAAGCCCTAGATCTAGGTTTCATGCTCATTGGGACTCGTTAGCAAGGTATATCTGCAACCCCGACGGAACTGATGTCCTACCTGAGATTCGAACCCGTTGCAGTCAGAGATGTTAACACTATACTATTCGGGCTGCGATTGACTTCTTGTAGGACCCATCCTTACACAGCCCTACGGGAGGTCGCACGAAACCTAGGTCTAGAGCTTCCTGTCGATCCCATCCTTCCCACTAATAGATTTTCGGTATTGACAGGGGTACATTGACTGGATCATCATAATTGTTCAGACTCTAAGGCACAGACACACAGGATTGATGTCATGTTTGAATTCATGGGCCAATGGTCTTTGTGGTGGCAACTGACGGAAAGAGGAGTCCCGAGCAAATGTACCAAGGTAATAAAAAAACCCTGTGCTAATACTCAAAATCATATAACGGCATTCACTTAACTGTTGTCTCCAATGAAACTGACTAGCGATTATTATCAGGAATGTCCACTATCACCATACCTGTTCATATTTGCCGCGTACATCCCAAATCAGGTCACCACCAGTTGAGAATATCTCTGGTTGACGCAGAGTAAATGGACAACAAATTGCTGTTGGGTGATTACACTGGAAAAATCTAGGACCCTTTCAAGCGGTGCGAAACTCAGAGTTTACTACCTATCCAATGTGTAAAATTTAATATCCTGTAGAACTGCTCTATGCCGACGCTTGCTTCAAAACCAATGCTGAAAGGGTGAAATAAAAAACACAAAGCATATTGTATATGAAAGAGCAACCTGCAAACAGTGTATGGTTTTGTTATACCAATCAATCATACTTGTTTCTTGTATCCTGATACAGTGGATACCTACAGACTATTGCTCGTAAAACCTTTGGATTTTAAAAAATACAATTGTTGCTTGTGCAGCTCTATGTACTAGTTGTTAACTCGGAATGAACTTATTTGGGACCACTAAACTCATTCGAAAAGATATCAGCTAGGTTTACTCATAGCAGGTAAACAGCACTTCGTATATTAGAGAAGTTTGATCACATTCCATAGGCTGGTCACTGACAAAGTCTCAGTGTCAAAGAGAAACCCTTTCATGTTTGCAGACTGGCAAGGTGTGATCAGCTACTGAACGATAAGTAAGTTATACAGCCATCGTCTGTGGCCGATTATGTGACTACCAACTAAAATCCAGTTGAAGAACAAATTTAACTGAAACCCCCAATGAATATTTTACAACTAAACGCCGTAGACCATAATGTAGTATGTTTTAGACGGACTCACTGCATCCTTGAAAACTGCGTGCGTTTGACGTATCAGGCTACTGTCTTTGACAATGCATGATACTATCTACAGTGGCATTAGGTTGGACAAAGACAATGCACCAGTGCATGAAGTCACTAACGTTTGATCTCAACTCTATAGAGAAGTGTCAGTTCCGCAGAGCAGACATGTCCAATCTACATAATTCTGGGTACCGTATTGCTCTTCTTCCACATTTCCTTTTTCCCCGTCTATCTCTGAAGATTATTTGATACCCTTCAGAGCTTTTCGGTCTTCTCTTGGCGTCGCATTGAAGTGTATCAACTTTAACTTGCGCACTTCTGTACGAGTCCAATCGTTCTTCTATTTATCTACCCTTCTATTTCACTTATTACTTGCAAAATAGACGATGATATATCCATACCTTTGTTTTAACAAATAAGTATCGTAAAATTGTGATAAACTGCTGAGAAATGTCTTTATTATCTTTCCAGTGTAAAAGAAAACGGAATATCTTTTTATGGAATTTTTAGGAATATTTGAATAGGTGGAAACTGATAGAACGAATCACTCGCTTAGAATAATGTGTCTTGCGTTGAATAATTGTGAACTAGACAAGTCAAGAAAAATGTACGAATAATATGTTGTGTAGCTTTCTATCAATGTGGCGAGTGGCTTACTGCACGTCACATGCACAGCATTCAGTTTGACACTGGCCTTAGTAATGAAAGAAGAGGAAAGATACTTGATAAATTGGTGGCAACCATTAGCCCATGCTACTTAAACCAACGGGGAATAAATGTAGTGAATAAGGAACATATCCACTAACTTTTCAAATATGTATTTGATAGGAATCTGTTCATTCATTCGAATATATTAGTTTGATGTAAGTAGAGGAAGTCGGTTCATAAAGTATGTATAGACGTGTACATGCAAAGCTTTCTTAGTGAAATATTTCAACCGACACCATCTATTTCATTCAGTTTATTCTTTCAGAATAAGTGTGACAATTGATTTTACTCAAGACAGGTTTGTCACTCTGTTAATAGGAATTCAGTATCTATCTAATGAACAGATGGGACCATACGCATTTCTTAGACGTCTTGAGAACCCCGTGTCCATTTCACTTAGAATGCCATAAAAACCTCATTACAATCTGATGAGAAACTCATCTACTTGAGGGGTAGGATTTTCATTACTTCGTCTATCCTTGTAAACTAAGTTCTTACCGCTTTTATAATACGATGATATGCGCATTAGACGCTGGGTGTGACTTAACCTTTGTTTCAGATTGAATACAATGCAAAATCCCAAGCAATAAGACGAAGAATGTGTTGAAAGCATTCGGACTCATGGGGAATAAAGCTAGCGAAACCTATCACTGTCATTTATCTCAGTGCATAACTGGAATTGATTCCGTAAGAAAAGATAGGCGAAGAATGGACCGAGAATGTGATACAATATTTCTACGGAATCGCTAATCTTTTGCAATCGAGAGTTTTAAATAACTGTTGACTTGAATTTCAATATTGATCTTCATATTGACTTGCCTTGGTGGGGCGACAAACAGATTTCTGAGGAGAAATTGGTTTTGATGGGGGGAGCCGAATCGTGGTTACTACTTGATTCCTAGCATGCACACCACAAATGTGAGCCAGACTACAACCCATATATTTCCATATTGGCTAAGCAAATTTTCTCTGGAAGTATCCCTCATTTACTAAATACGCATGTGGTCAGAATGAATGTAGTTGAACAATATGGAATCATTTAAGGAACATCAACAACTTAAAGCAACTTCGACATAAAAATATGATAGGCACTTGCGAACACTCATTCCATTTGAAGAGACTATGGTAACAGGAAAGGCGAATAACTGCGCTGAGTGCCCTCAAAACCAGTGTAACTAAATAAACTTGTTTTTGAGATGATAGTTTTTCGTTGGAAATAACTGAGTGAACATATTCGAAAGAGGATAAGTACTCTAGAGTGTCTGGATCCGAATTTGTCAAAGTTGGAAAATGAACTTGATATATAGCAGGGCATGATAGGTAGTGC